TATATATATATATATACCAAAATAATTTAGGGGGGCTCCAGCCCCCCGAAATAGGCCTAATGATGCCACTGCTGTAAGCAAAAAACTGCATCACTGTAGCACAACACTGTAGTTTAAATGAAGAGCAGGGCAGGTAGTTTTCTGCCAGCTGCTCTGTGACAGGTTGATACACATCAGGTGACTGTGTTGGTCCGGTTAGAGTTTAGCTGCCAGTCTGGAACCTCTGCTCTTACCATGGCTTCCTGTTGATCATATTGTTGCTCACGCTATAATCAGCTGTGCGTCGTAAATGAGATCATGTCTTATTCTGGAAAATGAAAGCTGCCTTCTATTTCTGCAGGATGACTGCGCAGGGTGGAACTGTGTTCACGGCCCAACTGGCCATTATGAGGTGGACCTTTGAGTCATTTGGTTTAATAAAATGCCTCTTTTTTTTTCTCCTTCCTGCAGACGTCTGCACCTCTCAAGGTGTTTTTGTACGGCCCGGGTTCAGAGTTTTTGCATTAGTCCTTATGGCCCAGGTCCACATCCTAACCCTTTCCACATGGAGGAAACGCTCTGCTCAATCCAAACACAACCCGGGCCAGAGCCAGGGTGGGCTTTACAATGCAAAAACACCTACATTGATTCATGCTAGGGTCACTTCCCCACCCAGCAGTGGTTCAGTTCCACTGGTGTGGACAGGAGCTGAGGATGGATGGATGCAGCTCAGTGCTCTGTGTATTCATGCACAGTGTGTCTCCAGTCCCTGAGGCCGACTGCACCCGCTGAACGAGCACATCTCCTATTAACCCAGATTCTTTTGTAGCCATCTCACTTTGTTCTGAGTTTCTTCCTTTAGTGTCAGACAGTAGCTGTGTTTCCGTTGACCATGGAAATGCTCAAATTAGAATTTCGAAAATAAATTTGCTCAATGGAAACAAGTCAATTTCGAAAGAAATTATGTTTTTGACAAAATGCACTGTAAAAAATGAAATGTTGGATTTACTTAACCATGTTATGTTACCTGGTTCCACTTAACTGAGTTGAGTAAATTCAAAGCAATATA